GCTTCCTGCATCATTCAATATTTTGCCCATAGAATCTTTCAATATTGCAACTCGAGGCTTAATTTTTTTCCTCAGTTCTTCCAGCTTGAGAAATGCTGAGCATATTCTTCCCTTTTGGTTTTCAGACTCCAGGTCTTTGAACATTTCATTATAGTAATTGGCTTTGTCTACTCAAGCTGTTCTTTGAAATCTTCTGTTTAGCTCTTTTATCTTGGCAGTTCTTCCATTTGCTTTGGCTACTCTCTGCTCAAGGGCAAGCTTCAGAGTCTCTTCTGCTGTCCATTTTGGTCTTTTCTTTTTTTTCTCATCTTTTTAATGACCTCTTGCTTTCTTCATGGATGATGTTCTTATGTGATCCCATAATTCTTCTGGTTTTCAGTCATTGGTGTTCAGTGCATCAAATCTATTCTTTAGATGGTCTCTAAATTCAGTAGGGATATATTCAAGGTCATATTTTGGGTCTCGTGGGTTTGTCTTAATTGTCTTCAACTTCAAGTTGAACTTGCATATGAGCAGTTGATGGTCTGTTCCACAATCAGCTCATGACCTGGTTATGGCTGAAGATATTCAGCTTTTCCATCTTCTCTTATCACAGATGTAGTCAATCTGATTCCCGTGTATTCCATCTGGAGAAGTCCTTGTGTATAGCTGCCATTTGTGTTGTTGAAAAAGGTATTTGCAATGAGTAAGTCATTGGTCTTGAAAAACTCTATCATGTGATCTTCAGGATTATTTCTATCACCAAGGGTAAATTTTCCAACTACCGGTGATTCTTCTTTGTTTCCAACTTTTGCATTGCAGTCACCAGTGATAATTAACACATCTTGATTGCATGTTTGGTCAATTTCAGACTGCAGAAGTTGATAAAAATCTTCAATTTCCTCATCTTTGACTTTGGTGGTTGGTACATAAATTTGAGTAATACTTGTATAAACTTGTCTTCCTTGCAGACGTATGGATATTGTCCTATTACTGACAACATTGTGCTTCAGGACAGATCTTGAAACATCCTTTGTGAGGATGAATGTCACGCCATTCCTTTTCAAATTGTCATGCCTGGCATAGTAGATCTTATGTTTGTCTGACTGAAAATGACCAAAACCGGTCCATGTCAGCTCACTAACACCTAGGATATCAATCTTTGTGCATTCCATTTCACTTTTGACAACTTCCAATTTTTCTAGATTCATACTTTGTACATTCCATGTTCCGATTATTAATGAATGTTTACAGCTGTTTATCCTTAATTTGAGTCATGTCACGTCAGCACATGGAGGTCTTGAAAGCTTCACTTTATCCATATCAGTAAGGTTAGTTCTACTCTGATGATGCAGCACTTTTCCAGTCCTATTTTGAGGGCCTTCCAACCTAAGTGACTCATCATCCTGCACTGTATCAGACATTGTTTCCAAGCTAGTCATATAATTGCCTAGTAATGTAACAGACAGTGTTTCTCTGCTATTCATAAGGCTTTCCCTGGCCAGTTCTTTGAGAAGTGGATGGCCCCTCCTTTTTCTTAGTCTATCTCGGTCTGCAAGCCACACTGAAAGCTGCGCACCATCTGCAACCCCCCTGGCATTTGAAACTGGTGGAACAGCCTCAAGCCTCACAGCAACATGCCACCAGAGCACAACAAATGGACAGACAAGTTTGTCTCCCTTAACTGTTCAAAACCTCTCCACCCTCCCCTTACCAGGATCCCTACTGCTTGCTCACTCTGTCCTAGACACCCTAGCTTTCCTTTCTATCCCCTACACTTTTCCTGCCGCTTGGCAGTTGGAGCCTGGGTCCCTCCCCTTACCTGGATCCCTCTGCCACTTTCTCTCTCTCTCCTGGACACCCTTGCTTTCCTTTCCTTTCCCCTCTGCTTTTCCTGCCACTTGGGGTTTGGGGCCTGGGTCCCTCCCCTTATCTGGATCTCTCTGCCACTTGGTTGCTCTGTCCTTGATGTTCTGGCTTTCTTTTCCTTTCCCTTGTTTTTCCTGCCCTCATCTCCCTTGTTGTTGTTGTTGTTATGTGCCGTTGAGTCAAACCTGACTCATAGCGACCCCTCCTTGGGTTTCCGAGGCAGTATCACTACAGAAGTAGGATTGCCCAACCTTCCTTCCGAGGAGTGGCTCCTCTGCACCCACCTACCTTGGGTACCAGCCTTAAAATAGAACCACCCCGAAGCAAAATGCAGTCTCCAAGCCCTACACCCACCTACCGCAGGACCCAACCTTAAAATAGAGCTGCCCTGAAGTGAAAAGCATCCCTCAAGTCCTGGGCCCACCTACTTCTTGCCCTGGCCTTAAGATGGAGCCACCCCCAAGCAAAAAGCAGCCTCCAATCCCTAGGCAAGCCTACCTTAGTCCCTGGTCTTAAAATAGAGCTGCCACCAAGTGAAAAGCAGCCCCCAAGTCCCTGGAAACTGCATAGCCATATCCAAACACCATCCTCCCCTATTTTTGCTCACTGGATGTGGTAGTTAAGGTTGTGTGTCATCTTGGTTGTGTCATAGCTTTGTGTGGCTTGGTAGTTATTCCCCATGATGAGATTGTAATCACTTCTATGGTGGATTCTATTGTGAGCCATTAAGTAGCTGCCTTCTGGAAGTATGACCTACTTCCAGTATATATGGAGAAGCTTTGAGGTGGTTCTCAAGCTTTTAGGCCCATATGAATCCTGCATTTGGTCAAATATTCATCTCCACTTCCTGAACTTGGACCTCTGGTCTGCCATATTGCCTGCTGATCTTGGGATTGTGCCATTTTACCTCCTGACCTTGGGTTCAGCAGCCAGCAGCTGCCTGAGTTATGGCACACCTCCAGCTCCAGTAGGCCTGGAACAAGAGGCAGAGCTGAATCCCAAGGTTGAGGGGCCCCTTGAGCTCACTTGGAGTTCAGACTTCTAGCTTCTTAAACTTAAGAGAATAAATTCCTGTTTTTAAAGCCATCCACTTATGGTATTTCTGTTATACCAGAACTGGAAGAACTAAAACACTAGAATATGTATCTCTGCTGCTGTTTGTATCACTCAGAAGTGATTAGATTTGGGATACACCCTATACTGATAGGGCCCTGTGATGGTTAAGTTTGTTAACTTGGCTAGGCCTGGTTGAGTGGCTGGGCAGCTGGATGTAGTATTCCCCATGATGAGACTGGTAATCAACTCCATGGTGGAATCTACTGGGAGCAGCTGAGTAGCTGCCTTTGGGTGTGTGGTCTGTTTCCTGTATATAAGGAGAAGCTTTGAGAATGGTCTCTAGCTTATGGCATGCTTGGACCCTGCATGTGTAGCCATGTCATTGCTCAGCAGCCTGCTATGCTCTGCTGACCTTGGGACTTACAGTGGACTTGAGTTAATGGCCTGCCATGTGGTTTAGTAACATCAGGACTGTGCCTTTTTACTCGTCAACCTTGGGGCTTCTCAGCCTCAGCAGTCTGAGGCTGTCTGAGTGAAGAAATGCCTCTAGCTCCAGTGGGCTGGGAGCAGGAGGCAGAGCTGGACTCGCTAGAGCCTGGCACTTTGAACTTGGACTTCAAGCCTCCAAATTGTAAGAATAAACTCCTATTTGTTAAGGCCATCCCATTTGTGATATATTTTCTCGTCAGAGCAGCACCAGGTAACTAGAACAGGCCCCCTTAACACAAAAAATAAAACATTATTTCCAGATAGGATCACACTCACAAATATGGGGGAGGATGGGATTCCACCACATATTTTGGGGGAACACTCTTTATTCATAACAGCCAAAATACTTAGATAAGAAAAAAAAAAAAGAAAAAACTGTGGTTTTCCTGGCATGATTCAACTTTACCTCCAAGTATCAAAATTTTAATAAATAAGATCTTGTCATTTACTTTAAGTTAATCAAAAAAAAAGATAACTATTGTGTTGATACATCAACAGCTTATATAGCCAAGCATTTCTCTTGCTAGGAGAAAAAAAAAGAATCTAACGAGTTGTTATTTCTAAGACTTAATCATATTTTGATGTTTCTACAAAATAACAAAATTTTGTTAAGCATTTATAAAGTTATGGTATTGAGCTAGATAAAGAATGTATCAATAAATTCTGTATTTATATTGCATTGAATAGTTTACTGTTCTAACACAACGCAAGAGTCCCTGGGTGGTGTAAACCATTAATTGCTTTACTACTAGCTGAAAGGTTGGTGGTTCAACCTAGTCAGAGGCACCTTGGAATACAGACCTCACAACCTATTTTCCAACAGGTCATAGCCTTAAAAACCCTATGGAGTAATTTTAGTGTACACAAATGGGGTCACCATAGACTCAGTAGTCTTGACAGAAACTAATAACACCACACAAAGCAAATGTACAATATCTTTGAAGTCTGTAATCAAACATTAGTTTAAGTAGTCACTTGTAATTTGGATGTTCAAATTCTGAATAATCTCTTCTCCTAAATAATTTAATTATAAAGCATTTTGAAAAATTGTATTGAAAGCCTTTTAAAGATAATTTCACTGATTTTTTTCTGTTAAGATTCCAATTTATTGTGCCTAAAGAATGGAACAGCAAATACAGACCTGTATGTATTCATCTTGCTGGAACAGGAGATCATGTAAGACTTTATTTTAACACCTTAACCCTAAAGAATTTGTTAACTTATTCTCCTTATCAGATGTAGTTATTATATTCTTTAACTATGTTATCTTTTCTTTTCTTAGCATTATTGGAGGCGAAGAACACTGATGGCTCGTCCTATGATTAAAGAAGCCCGAATGGCTTCTTTATTATTAGAAAACCCTTATTATATCCTTTTGTGATAACTAAGAAATGTTTTCTCTTGTTTATTCACTTAGTCATCAAAAGAAAGGATACATACACTTTGGTTAGTCACAGCTGGGCTCTTAAAAGCTTGCAAGTGGTTATGGAGATGCAACAATTGGTCTCTCCTCATCTGTAGCAAAGAATAACGAAGAAAACCAAAGACAGAAGTAAAAAAGTAGTCCAAGGGACTAGTAGAACATGCGAACCTCAGCCTACACGATCATGAGACCAGAAGAACTAGACAGTGTCCGACTACCACTGTCAACCACTTGGAAAGGGATCAATGTAGGAGATCCTGAATGGAGTGGGAAAAAAATGTGGAACAAAACTTAAAATCATAAAAAAGACCAGGCTTACTGGTCTGATAGAGACTGGTGAAACCCCAAAGACTGTGACCCCTAGGCACCTTTCAGGCCTAGAATTGAACTCACTCATGTGGTTTCCAGCCAAACAGTAGACAGGTGAACATTTACACCAGGTAGGTACATTTCTTAGAACAAACAGTCATGGGAGATCAGAGGGCAGTATTTGCAGAGAGATCGTTCAGAGGGCAGAAATCCCTAGGAAAGAAGGACATAGGGAAAAAGGTAACCACAGGATATGAAGAGAGCTGTTACATTATGGGATTGCAAACAATGTCATGAAACAAAATGCATGAACTGAGTATGGAAAATGAATTTGTTCTGTAAACTTTCACCCAAACCACAATTAAAAATATATAT